TCTTTGAAGAGATGCCATCCAACCACATGAGTTTGTAGATTTAAAACAGAGTCCAAGGAGGCCGGCCGTAGGCAAAACAGAGTCCCAGGAGGCTGACTGTGAGGCCGGAGGCGAGGCGGAATCTCTGGAGGGTGGCCAAGAGGGCACCGACGAATGAGGACCTCTGGAGGACTGCCGTGGGGACTGTGATGTAGGAGGACCTCTGGAGGACGACTGTGACGACGGTGATGAAGGAGGACCTCAGGAGCATGGCGTCTCTCCAAAGCATGAACCTTGGAGGATGGCATCTCTGCAGCAGGAACATTGGAGGCCAGCAACTACAGCACTGGAACCTCGGGGGCTGCCGACTACGGCACAGGAACCTGGGAGGAGGCGGCACAGGAACCTAGGAAGAGGCAGCACAGCTTGGGATCCATGAAGAGGCGTAAAGTGCCTGCTGAGGGGCCTTTGAGGCCAGGAGGGCCAGCTGAGGCGCCTTTGAGGCGTAGAGGATCCACTGAGGGCCTTTGGAGGCGTGGAGGGCCAACTGTGGGGCTTTGGATTCGTGGAGTGCCCGGTGAGGGGCCTTGGAGGTCTCATCACCTTGGAGCTCTCACAATTCTCAGTTTTACAGTTAGACCCTTCCTGGGGTTCAGGGGTCTCTGTATGGCACAGAGTGTGCTCTGATAGAGGATCTGCCTGAGGCAAAGCGCTAAGTGAATATATCTGAGGAGAAGTGCTAACAGGTTGTAACTGAGGAGTCGAAATGTAACAGGTTTTGAATGAAGGGTAGAAACGCCAACAGGTTCTGACTGAGGAGATAGGACACTTGGTGGAACTGGCTGAGTGCATAGGACACTGAGGGGAGCTAACTGAGGAGAAGGGAGGACTAGGTTTGGAGTTCTGGAAACATTTCTAGTCCATTCTTAAGTTCCTTAGCAACACTTACCCGCTTCCAAGGAGGACTGATTGACGGGTAGATCGTCAAATGTGCTTCTGAAGAGTTTTAGAAAGTCTCTGGCCTTATTACTTGGTGGCTCTGCTGGATCCGTGTTGGCTGGTTCCTTCTTTCAAGGTTGGGTGGATATTTCTTTAATGACCTAAATGCAGTGATAAGGAGGCAGAGACAAGTTTGTAGCTTTAATAAGTTCCCACAGGCAACTGAGGCAAAAATAAAAAATATTGAAAATACTGAAAAACAAAATCTAGTGAAAAAACAGGTGTGTCTTAACTGTGTGCATGTCGGATAGCAGGCCTGTCAGATGGGAGGATGAGTTTCATTATTCTGGAAGCCTTGACTGGTAAATAATTTGGCCGCCACACATTCTTCTTTCTGTTGGATCACTTATTCATGCACCTGTAGTGGTTTTTCTTGTATGCTGACTTAGACATTTGCTGAACCTTTTTTAACCTTCCTGTTGTCCTCGGGTCAAAATGACCTGCCACTGTATTAAAAAAAGCAAAAATCAACTAAATGTAGTTTTTTTTTAAACATGAAACATTTTCCTAAACTGGCCCCAACAATAGAAACAGTAAAATGTTGCTTTTATGACCACTTCAAGGCAAGCTGTACAAAAAAAGGTACAAAGGTGGTCTTTGAGTAAAAATGACCTGTGAGGCAAATAGAGTTGAAAGTAAGGTCACAGAGCTATTTACCAACCACAGAGTGTGACTTTAGAAGACCACCTGTTTATTTTCAGAGGTTATACAGGTGCTGCAGGGAGGACCTCAAATTTTGTCATTGCTGAAGCCATGAGTGTGCATTACAATGTCGAAGAGGCTTTAGAGCAGGTTTTCTTAGATGTCCAGGAAGACAACTCTGATTCAGAATAGGAAGTGGAGGATGTCAAAAACCCTCAAGCTGAGAGAATTGTTCCTTACAAACTGATTATGTTCATGGTAGAGAATCCTGCTTCACAGCAGAACCTCGAGCCAAACATACTCAAACTGTGCAGGGTCATCTTTGAACACACCATTTCACTTTTCTGTCACCAGTTCACCACAGCTCTTCCACACTTTCTCTGCTTTCTTTTTCTCATCGTCTTCTGCTTCTTTCCCATCGCCTGGCTTGCCACAGCTTTGCCTGCTGTGGATTAGCAAGCAGGTAGGTCCGAATCCATATAACCTGGACTGGATGTCTCATAAGCAAGACAAGAGGAGGGTGTTCCTGGAACAGCTTATAAAGGCACTTTTAACTCCACTCATTGAAAGAAAGAAGCATGTCCCAGCACGAAAACCTCTGCAGCAGCGGTGAAAGCTATTTAGAGTGCAGGAGCTCCTGATCAACATGAGGATCCATCTACCACAGCCACTTCACAGATGGGGCAAGTAAAAGGAAGAGATGTTAGTTCTGCCCTCAAAACAAGGACTGTAAAACACATGCTGCAGGTGTAGGAAATATATCTGCAAAGGCTGTGCACTTGCATACTGCCCAACATGTGAGTTGGATGGGTTATGGTATTTTTCATATTTTTGAATTGTATTGTCTTAAATTGGTCACTGGAGAAAAAAAGATTAATTGAGGCCTGATTGATTCATGGAGTCATTGGGATGAATAAAATAGATTCAAAACTAATTTTTGCACATTTCTTTCTTTTCTTAAGCTGTACAAATTCAAGTAAAGAGGGCAAATTTGAGTATTCAGACATTTTGTGTTAAATGACAACATTTACCACAAAAAGCTGCTTATATTGGGGGTGTAGTGAAGACGGGTCATTCTGACCCGGAGGACACATGGTGTAAACAGAAAATGAGGACAACATGAGGGTTAAAGAACACTGATTTTCTATTAAAAATATTCATCCAAATATTTCAATATAATTCAGTTTATTTATATAGCGCCAATTCACAACACGTCATCTCAACCAGATCACACAGTCAAACTGATTCAAAGGTTTCTATCTAAGGAAAACAAGTTGATAGCATTGACTCACTGACACAAATGCAATCCCTCACACCAAACATGTTTGTAGCGACAGTGGAGAGGAAAAACTCCCTTTTAACAGGAAGAAACCTCCAGCAGAACCAGACTCAGCATGAGTGGCCATCTGCCAAGGACGACTGGGGTTCAAGGAGACAGAAGCACACATACAGAAAGAAGCAGAGATACAAAAGGCAACTGTCAATCAGGAAACACACAACCAGGCAGATGAGCTCCAAGCCAGCCCCCACATCAGAGGACAAAGAGAGCACATCCAGTTAGTCACAGTCAGAGAAACAGGACTACACTGTCAAACAGGCTGAGTTTGAAAATCTATATACAAAAGTGTTGAGAGCAGCAGCACAGCTGATTTTTCTCCAGGATGATTTCATACCCAAACAGGAACAGACCAGATGAAGCAGAGAGAGAGAAGAGTGTTAGAGATTAAACTAACAAATTCTGCAGAGTGGGAGAATAGAGATAGAATGAAGCAGGATGGCAAAAAAAAAAAGGGCTTCCTATGTCCTCCAGCAGTCTAAGCTTATAGAAGCATAACTATAGAGATAGCTTTGGATGACCTAAGCCACTCTAACTTTATGCTTTATTTCTGCCTCACAGACTAAAACTGGAAGTTGGTTGCACAGGAGAGGAGCCTTATAACTAAAAGATCAATTATAGCATCCTCAGGGTATTTGGTTTGGTGTTTGCTACTGATCGCATAAAGTTCTTTCAGGGCTAGCTTGGCATTAGCATCTGAGGGGATAAACACAGCAGCTAGGAAGACAGAAGTGAATTACCTTGGAAGGTAATAAGGTCTGCATTCCATCATAAGATGAACATAAAATGGAGCTTGGCCGTTTTAGGCTTTATATGCAAAAAGGAGGATTTTAAACTGTTAGAACCCCACCTAACAGCTTAGAACACTGAGTTTCTGGATTCGAGCCCTACTTCCACAGACTGCCAGTCTGGGTCTTTGAGCAAGACCTTTAACCCCACACTGCTCCCCGTCTGCCCTACAACAGCAGCCCACTGCTCCCAAAGGGGATGGGCGAAATGTAGAGCTAAATTTCTCAAATATGAGATCAATAAAGTTCAATTATTATTATTATTAAATTCTATTTTGAATTTAAGGGCATTGCAGAATATTTTTGCATAATTTAAAAGAACCGCCCCCTCCTCTTAAAAAAAAAAAAATGATGTTTGAAGAATTTATAGCAAACTCAGTTAACTTTTTTTTTACTTTAATTAGATTATCATGAATTACTCCTTATGGATTCTTTTCAAATTTATTTAATTTCGGTTATGGCAAGACACGGTCTGGATGGAGTAATGAGTAGAGAAGCTGCAGTGGGGTGTGTGCAATGGGGTGTGTTAAACTATGACTCCTCTTCCTGGTCTGCACCCTGGCTTCTCAGGGTTTAAGAGGATTAATACATTTTAGCCATTTGGAATTTTTTTTTATCAAAAGTCAACAAAGCATTTTGGAAATTTCAAGATACAACATGATTTTAATTACGTTTTGATTTTGGGTCTATGATAGCGAAAAAGATTTTTTACAATAGAAACAAATTATTTTGGGAGTTTTTTGCTTGAAAATGTTTAAATTAATGAATACGCTTTGTATTGTTCCACATGTCCTATTATTTTGTACCACTCAATGCAACAATTTGTACTGGCCAAACCTTTTTGCAGTCAGAGCTGTTCTGAAACTTCTCTAACTCAGTTGATGTGCAGGAGAGGTTACAGCTTTTGACTGTGGGGAAGAGAAAAGTACTCCTCTTGAGGAGCACACTACCTGAGGTAGTTTTGTAGTTATTGTATACGTCTTATTTGAAGCCATCAAGCTTATTTTACTGACAGTGTAATAGTGATTCATTGAAACCTTTCTGTGTTATAGTAATTATCAGGTGAGAAAACACTCCAGTTAAAGTCATAAATCCAAAACACTCACACTTCAAAATTACATATCTGTTTTGGGACACAGTTGCAGCTCCATCTTGTGGCTTAAACAACATGCAGCCTTTAAATTAGATAACCATTTAGGTAAAGCCCATAACATCAGCCCCCATAGCCAGTCAAACCAAAAGACCCACACCAGATTGTTTAACACTCAGCAGGATGGAAGACGCTCCTTCTAAGATGTGCCATAACCTTGGACAGAACACCTCACAGGGTGCCAAAGAGCGCGGCAAGTGGGAAACCAAGAAAGAGTTTATCTTGAGTGTGGCCGGTGCTATTATTGGACTTGGCAATGTGTGGAGATTTCCATATCTTTGCTACAAGAATGGTGGGGGTGAGTAATTGCACTGGTTTTCTACTTGGTTGGAGGGAGGCTTTGCAGACTTATGTACATACAAACTTGCATCTTTAGGAGATACTTGAGAAGTTCAGTTCTGTAAAAAAAAATAAATAAAAAGAAATAAAAAGTAATGTACAACAACAGTGTAAAAAGATGAATAAAAATCAAATAAGTAAGGATTTTTCAGGTCATGAAAGCCTGCAAAGATAAATAACAAAAATATCCTTTATTCTCCCCAGTTGGGAAACATAGGTTTTACCAGCAGGAAGTTGAAGCATGCAGATTTACTCAAAGATAAAAATATTAACAGTATAAGAATATAAAACAAGGGTAAATTTACAGTAAAAAAACAAAAAACCTTTCCATTATATACTATCAATACTTTAGTCAAGAACAGTCACCTTTTTATTTTGACTGGACATTTCAAACTTTTAATAGGTTACAGATCATTTAAAAGTTTAAGCCAGAATCATCAGATTGCAGGGGCATCTGCTGCTTCTCTACAGTATGTGTGTTTGGCCATGTACTTGTTACCTGGGTGGGACAATTTCCTCAAAATATGATACATTCAGGGGGTTTATAGATATTTGTGGGGATGGTTGGTCCCCATGAGGAGAAATTCACTTTTTGGAGTGGGGTTAGGCATAGGAAAAGTTGGGAATTGAGTTTAGGTTATGTTTCGTGTAAGGGTCTTGATTAGGACATGAAAATATATGCTATGTGAACAGAAGTCAACGAAAAGTCCACACAGGGATAGTGTGATATATTGTAGGTTTGTGTGCGTGTTTTGTATTTGACAAAGTGGGGCCCATTTTGGCATGTCTCAAAGACATTGGGCAAGATAGCACATTGTGGGCACCAACTGCTCCTTGTGGGGCTCAATGCCTGAACCCCATGAAGAGAATAGCCAAGGTGGGAAATGAGTCCCAGTTAAGCTGTTTGAATTAAGAAGAGGGTGTGTGTAGGGGTGTATGTGTGTGCTCTTACCCACCTATCAAACAGGGGACAGTCATGTTGTTGAACACTCACCAACAGGGGACAATCATTTTTAAGGTCCTTCCTTTGTCATGCTCTAAATCATGTTAAAAACATGTTAAAAACCAAAATTTTGTGTGGGTGTCTGTGTGTGTGTTGGGGGGTTCTTCTGTTTTGCATTCAGACTTAGAACCATTTTTCTAAATTTCAATATAAAATTGAGGACTGGTTGTTGCAAAGTATGGCCTCTATATTTCATAATCTACCTTGTTTCCCTTTAGTACCATCTTTGGGAAATGTAATATTTATTTTTATGCATGTTATGTAGATGACACCTAGCTCTACAGTATGTATATGGTACATCTATCTCCAAATTTCCTCCTGTGCTGATGCACAGACCTATGTAAAATTCCCTATGCTCTAGGATTTCCGTTAAAAGAGTGACAAATGACTGTCCGGTAATTAAGCTGCATTTTAAAACTGCAACCACCATTTCATGGACTATGTCTGTGACATACCTCAAAAGAACACCAGACATTAATCTCTTGGCTATATCTTGGGTTGTTGCACATAAAACATCCCTCCTATCTTAATGTCGGCAGATATTCTCCCTTCAATTAATTGCTTGATAGCATGTTTTTACTCAAATCAAAGTTGTTTGGACATGAAATTTGACAGAGAGCCTCTGCATTGTCCGCCCAAAGCCTTGATCTTATTGCTTTTTCAATTAAACTTAAGTTGCTCTTTTAAGCATAGATTACATTTTCCAAAAATATTGTCAATGTCAAGACCACCATTGTCCAATATGTATGCAGTTTTATCATGCACACGTCTATATCTTAAGCTTGTCTTTCCTGGGATCTTCATAATCTCCATGCCAAGGAAATATTCATTTACTTTGGTAATGATCCAGATCAGGTGCGAATTCTAGCTATAGTTGTACTCCCCAATTTCCGGCAAAATTTTCTACTTGGCAGTGCAGTGCCAGTGCTTTTATAGTTAGAATTAAAATGACTGCAAACATGGAAAAACTTAAAACAATTAAATCTGATTTCTTCAAAAAGTCTGTTATTTAATGACTCGATTATTGATAATCAATTTGATTTATTTTGTCTCACAGAAACTTGGCGGCAGCCTCATAAATGAGGCAACCTGCTCTAGATATTTAAATTTTCACCTTCTGGGAGAGTAAAAGAAGTAGCAACAATTTGTCAGTCTGACTTACTGATTAGTCCAAAGCAAGTTAATAGTTACAAATCTTTTGAACATTGAACCCTTAGTTCCCCCATCCAAATTGTACAAAAAAATCTCGTCTGTTTGGAACTTTGTATCTTCCCCCAGGTCCTTACTCATTTTTCAGAGTTTCTGTCTGGTGTAGTATTGAATACTGAAAAGATCATTACAGTTGGGGATCTTAACATTCATCCCAACATTGAAGGTTGTTGTGCAAGTTAACCAAAAGTTTATGAATATATTACACAACTAAAACTGGAAGTTATAGTTAATTAATACGTCATTCAAATTGAGGGTAAAACAAAATAATTATTATTAGCTGAGTGGGTATGACTTTAATTTGCTTACTCACCAGGGTTCTTAGTCTCTTATGTAAATGGGTGGACCAGCTGTTTTAAATCCAGTTGTCTTTCCAAATTTAGCAGTTCAGAGTATGGCTACCAGCAGAGTTATTAGTCATTAACCAAATAAATCTGTCTTTTCTGGAGTTAATTTTACAACTCACAGCCCGAGATGCCTCCCTTTAGCTACAGCAGTTACCTGTGGGCAGCCCTCATGTAGCAGCAGGAGTGGCAGCTCTTAGGCATTTGTCAGTACAAGTGTAGCACAGATCAGTGCCTCATAACGGCTCCTTGGCAAACAGCAATTGGGTCCTACTGTTGTTCCTTTGGCAGTTCGATTTAGGTCGATCAGAGCTGGATTAGCTCTTCTCTGCTGCAGCAGGTGGGATCATGCAGGACACAGGAAAAGCGATGATCAGCTCCTTCTGAATCGTAGGATGGGTAGTCTGACTCAGTCCAGCTAGCACAGACCCCTCAAGAGGGATTTGGTTGTTACTTAGGATAATTTTCAACTGAGAAGCACTTAGTCTAGGCCTTTAGTGGCCGCAGACCACTGGCAACAGGAAGTTGAATGGGAAAGAGCTCCTCTTATAGACTCCGTCGGAGGCGTATGCCTTCAGAGGGGAGTCGTTCCGGTTACATCACTGACATTTGATCTCAACAAGGTGATTGCTTAATTGCAACCTTAACTATTGTCTTAGACTCGAATGGCTTTGTTCAAAATGTAATATTCCCCTTCATAAATTGATGGTTGTCATGATTTTATCAAGAGCTTGGACCCACATGCAGAGAAACCAATACAGAGAGACTAGGTAAAAAGTTTAACAGGTTTATTGAGAAGTTTGGTGGAGATTCCAGTGTTGCTCTGAACACTGCTCAACCGGAACTGAAAGGTGAGGGGAACACACTGCGGTTAGTTCAGGTTCAGTGGGTGAATTGATTCTCGAACTTGAAGAGGAGAAAAGGTTGGCAGACTCACGTTTCCAGAAATTAGGTTGACTCCATTAGGTGCGGAATGTGTTCCGGTGTTTGTCTAATACGGTGGAGGGCGGACAGGGTTACCCAGAATGCAGTTGCTTGTAGATGAATGGAGAAAGACTGACTGCCACTCGGATTTCCTGCAGTACTTGCAAGGACTGTTGTACAGGTTAATCCCTTGCTCAGTGAGAAGCTGAAACGTTTCCTCTGGGAAAAGTGGATCCAAACCTCCGGTTTGTTTCCTCAGCTCAGTTTGAAGCTTAGTTGATCCTTCCAGGGAGAGAAGGTCCGAAAAATCCAGATTGCAGGATGTTTCCCTGCCGAGAAGCAAAGACAAAAAACAATGTTAAGACTCAGGTTGACAAAAGCTCAGTTTGGCTCAGCAAAACTCAGCTTTGCAAGAGTACCCAAAACTGGCAAACACTCTGGCGTCGAGGTAGTGGCAGTCAGCAGCTTAGGAGCACTCCGTTAGCAAGATAACCCCTTGCAGGTGTGTGAGGAGGAAAATCAGAACCAGGTGGCGCCTGGTGGAGGAAGGAAGACAAACATACAAACACACAGACCACAAAGACTGGAGTCCTAACAATGGTTTTGTTGATGGGGTTACTACACTCAAAAATAGAAATGCAAAACTTTTGGCTCCCATTTTTGATGAGATGAACTCAAAGACCTAAAACTTTTTCCGCATACACAAAATCACCATTTTCCTCAATTATTGTTCACAGAGCAGTCTGTATCTGCGATTGTGAGCAATTCTATTTTGCTGCGATTATCCGTCAAACCTCACAGGGGTGAACTATCAAGATGCTGATTAGACATAATGTTTAGTCTATATCTATCTATAGATAGATACACTTTACAATGTTGACTTTACAATTCACCGGATCATAAAGTCAAACTGATTCAGAGTTTTCTATCTAAGGAAAACCAGTTGATTGCATCAACTCACCAACTCGAAAGCAATAGTAACCAAGATAACTGTTGAGTGTAAATGGTACACAGAACTGAACTGGACCTCACCAGACACATATGAACCACTCTAAGATGGTACTAGTCTATCAGTAGATATCATCATCATCTTACTCTTCCTGAATGTTACAGGCATCGCCATGTTGATTTGCTTGTTTACCTCTAGAGAGCAGTAGTACAGTAGATCATCACTAGGAGGTGACGAACCATGCTAGCGTGATATGTAAAAGGTCATAAGAACCCGAGCTTGACACAGTTAACTGATCCAAGCTTGGCACGGATCGGTTTTCAGAGGGTAGTGTAAAAGGGGCTAATAGCAGCATAACTATAGAGATAGCTCAGGATAACCTGAGCCACTCTAACTATAAGCTTTATTAAAAAGGAAAGTTTTAAGCCTACCCTTAAAAGTAAACAGGGTTTCTGCCTCACTGACTAAAACTGGCAGTTGGTTCCACAGTAGAGGAGCCTGATAACTAAAAGATCTGCCTTCTATTTTACTTTTAGAAATTCTAGGAACCACTAATAAACCTGCAGTTTGATAGCAAAGTGCTCTGTTAGGAACATAAGGAACAATCGTATCTCTGATATAAGATGGAGCCTGGCCATTTAAGGCTTTATATGTGTATTTATGTTTAAATTCTATTCTGGATTAAACAGGAAGCCAATGAAGAGAAACTAGGATGGGAGAGATATGATTTCTGTTTTAAAATTTCATCAGAACTCTGGCTGAAGCATTTTGGATCAGCTGAAGGCTTTTAACTACAGATTGTAGACTTCCCGATGTAAAGAATCACAATAGTCCAGCCTTGAAATAACAAATGTATGGACTAGTTTTTCAGCATCCTCTTCAATGGCTGTGCGAAGTTGCTGGATATTGGCAAAAACTGGTTCAGTCTGTTGTATACGCCAATCCAGAGCACCCCAAACATGCTCAATGGATGAGTATGGCGGTGTCTGGTGAGTATGCCGGCCATTCATGAATTCGGACGTCTTCAGCTTCCATGAACTGTATACAGATCCTTGCAACATTAGGCCATGCATTATACTGAAGCAAAATGGGGTGATGTTCTTGCATGTATCGCAGAACAATGGGCCTCAGGATCTCGTCATGGTATCTATGTGTAATCATAATTTCATAAGTGCACCTGCGCTCTTCATTCATAACAGACGCCTGTAAATAAAAAAAATATTTAAAAAAAAAATGC